GTTGAAAGCATAAAAAGAACAGTTTTTTCCTTTTTTAGAACATTAGGAATTAATGTTTTATCTTTTTCGAAACCAAAACAGTGTAGAAAATATTCCTAGTTTCATCTTCAGTTTCCGAAATGCAATCTTCATCGCTTTCAAATATTTCTAATAAATCTCACAGGCGTTGCATCTCCTATTCATAGGGAGTCATTCTTTTTACGATAATGTGGTTAGAAATTTTCAAGAATTTAATGTCAAGTACTTAAAATCACTTGCGAGTAGAAACATTTACTGTTACACTCCAGAAATAAATTTCTGAACTAAATATTCGGTCAGAAAAACACTTACGCGGATAGGCGCGTGGGGTGTGCAATACCCCAGTTCCAACAAAATACCGATAAATCTTTTTCTGAAAAACACAGGCAAAGAAAAAGCGATTCTGAAAATCAACCACAACTAGAAACTCAGCTACTGAATGCAGCACAGAATTTCAGTTTCACAAGTTAGGAATATTCCAATTTTATGTAGGGGTGGGGTATGACACAACCCACGCGCTTTCCCGTGGGATATATACATTTTCAACTTTTTATAACTTGAAAAACGAATGCGTGCGATGTTATCGTCATGCGATGATGTGTAAGTGCTTTATTTTTTTACAGCGGTATAGGATGATGTTTTAAAACTGCGATGTGTTTAAACTGCTTTACTTTCGACGGCGATGTTTTACAACTACAATACTTTTCTTTGCTTTCTTATCTTTCACGATGTTTTGTACGACGGTGGTGCGTTTTCGCCTTACATTGTTTTTTACACCAGGTTTTCTTTTACTGTGTTCTTGCCAGATGTTTTCGGCAGACACTTCTTCGTGAATATACGGATATAAACTCGGTAATATAGAATCGTCCAAATCAGCATGTGGAGTTCCAACCATTTATCTAACAACTAAGTGTATAGGAACTTCGTGAAAAGGTAAGCGAATATTCGCTTTAGTTCAGAAACAGATACTTAAACCTCAAGAAGTGTTATTTACCCTTTATTTCTCAAAATAAGAACTTAACAGTCGGCTCCTTACTCAAAGCGTACAGCAAAGCCTCCACTTGGGCTTGAACTCAAAGAAATGCTTAACTAATGCTGAACTCAAAGATATAGTCGAAGCTATCAAGATTTCTAAATAGTTGACCCCTAAGTATCAACTAAACTGGACTAAACCTAAAACAAACAAGCTATCAAGAGCCTGAAATAGAGCCGAGAGTAGTAATAGCTTAGAAAGAGGGTAGCGAAAAAGCAAACGCTCGATAGTCAGAATATCTGGCTTTCTCTAAAGAAGTCAGTGAAACTTCGATTTAAATACCGCTCTTACTCATTTGCATTAACCGCGATTCTAAAAACACATTCTGGTAGGAAATTGTAATCTGAAATTAGGAGGGATAGGACAGTAGCTTTAACTAAAGATAACTGTTAAAAACTTAGGATAAACCTTACAAGCAATTATTTCCTTTTGAATTAGTTGAAAGTTAAGAATTGAAGAATTAGTTGGGTTAGTTCCTTTTTTCAGTTGCTATGTGCTTCTCGCAAGACAGATCACCATGGGTATGTTCATTTTTTAGGAATTTCTTTTTGAATAGTAAACTACAATCCGACATACGCGCTATGCAAATGTACATCGCAAGGTGTTTATAAACCTAGTTTAACGCATTTTTTTTTTTTTTTCATTTCCTCCGAGAATTCTTGTTCATTTGCTGGAATACTGGAATTTAGTATATTCCTTTACCACTGCGGACCTTCCAATCATAGAGATATTAAAAATCACTTCATTTCACATCCTCAAACGATTAATCACCAGGATTCTGATCATTTTATATATGTTTTCATTGGTCTAAGGACGCCAGTTTTCTTATTTCTCTTGCTCTGTTAAGTTTATCTCTGTTCATCTAGGCAGATCCAAGTAAGAACTGTCGTTGAATCTGTCCAAAAGAAAGATTCTATAGCTTCCAATTTCAGAGCTTCCATTACAGACTTATGCAGCTTAGCTGCAGCTGCTATCATCACATCCATTACTTGACTAGCAAAGACATGAAGTTCGTAATGTTTTTTCTGTAAAATTTCAAACTTTAATTGCATGCAGATAAAATATCGTCTATTCTCTCCGAGTTAAGGAAATTTTTGCCACTTTCCTCGATCTGCTGATCTTTTCTACTTTTGCGAATAGTGCCCTGTCTAGCATGTCAGATATGGTGGAAAATATGATCTTTGATTTCAAAAGGTCTTCTTTCAAAGGTTCAAAATTTGAAGGTCTAAATTTCTGATAGATTAAAAATGGATTCTACATTTGAATTATAAAGCAAGGAAATATTTGTCTCAACGATGTTAAAATCATTGTTGATTTCCGCGACTATTAATACCAGTTATTGGCATCGAAATATATGTAAATAATTTTAAACAACAAGTACAAAATATATCTCCCGCATGGTTATTTTCTTTTTGATACAGAATATTAAAACGAGATAGATTCTACTGATAGAATAATAGTATAAATTTTTCCTTCATAAATTTTGTTAAAGCAATGAAATTTTCTTTATTTAAATGTAAATTCTGTTACTGTAAAGCGAACAAACATAAATTCCGGCAATAAGATTCAGATGCATTATTTATTTAAAAATAATCATATGTGGCTGTTTGCCAGTTTCAGAATTTCAGAAAAAAATCTGAAAAGTGATAAAGATAAAAGTACTGAAAAACGTCCAGCACCATTTTGAAGAATTAGGCAACATCTCAAGAAGTCAACACCATTTTCAAGAATTAGGCATTGAACTTCCTGTGTTTTTAAAAGCCTGTCTTTTTCTCGTCTCGATTTCTTTTCTTTCTTTTTTTTCTGTTTTTTAAGAAGAAAGCAGAGAACTTCTCTTGAACTAATCTGAAGTTCTTTTCATCCACTTAAATGTTTTCATTTCTTCTGCTGTCTGGTTTTAAAAATATTTAGTTCTTGTCCAATAACTTCATTCTACAAAAGATCTAGTTCCGTACAGCATCTACGAGTTCTGAAGAGCTTCGCTTCTTCAACTGGAGTAGTATTTTATAATTTCTGTTATTATATTAAGTTTCTGACCTGATTCAATATTTCACTAACTTTCTAATTCTAAACTTGGTTTCTCTTCGCGTTTTACTTTTCAGATTACGTTCGAGACAAAAAAGCATATTTTGAAAAACTCTCAAGCTTTTGTCGGTTTCCATTTCAATATGCGATTATTGAGTCTTCAAAATTTCATTCGGAAAGAGAATTTTTCTTTGAGCTCCTGAAAGTCATGTTAATTGCTGTTAAGATTTTAAATTGTCGTGGCGATCCATAATGAGGATATTAATGTTTAAAGACCATTTATAATTCTGGAAATACTTGTTTGATTATTGTTGAAATCTTTTAATATTTTGAAATTATGAAAAATTTGTTCTCATTACTCCGATTCATTTTGCCTGTTATTAGTTCTTTGGCATGTTCTTTTGCTGCATTATAATCTAACAATTCTTGATGCAGTAAGACAATTTATATATGTGTGAAGTTTCATTGGTAGATTTAGTATGGAAATAGCCCATGCTTACGTATCCTTAATATTTGCGTAATTTCTATAATTCACTGAAAGCTAGAAACCTATTAGCTTCATGTCATCATCATTTTCCAAAAGAGGATGGCTGAGAAAATCCTTTATAATCATTTTATTTCGTTTCTTAACGAATGCCCTATTTATATATTTTCTTCAATAATCCAACGTTTAATGTAAATGCCACAGCATTATTCCTGTATAAAATACAAACAATTCTTTTGACAATAATAATGCTCAAATAGAAAATACCAATGAGCTTTTGAATCTCATGATGTCAGGATGATCTCATGATGTCATTTTTTAGGAGCTAAAAATATCTAAATGACTAAGTTGGACATTCCAGTGATCGTTGACGAAGAAATGAGCGGCATCTGTCTTCTAATCACGCATCTTTTTTCAGTCAGGCAATCGCCGACAGCGATAATAATTGCACGACACCCCCCCCACATTTAGACACACCAAGCCCCCGCTCATGCCCCCGCCCTCTGTCTGTCAGAAAGGAGAACCCCCTCCAATGCTATCTTCAATGGCCTCAAATGCGCCCACAAGTTAAAAACTGCAACGGAATAACGAAAATTCAAATGTCTCGCACCCCGGAACCCACCAGTAAAGCCGGCAAAAAATTGCAAACATCCCTGCCACCCCTGAGTTCCTGGTGACATAATTGATTTATTGTCTCAAATCCTATCTGGACCAGTGCAAGCGACTACCCCCTGTGGTCGGCAATAAGTATGGGTGTTTCACCACCTCTTTCTTCAGGACACGAATGCAACAGTGCCAGTTGGGCACTCCCAGTTCTCCTGCTATTTTTCCCCTAATCTAATTTTAGGATGGGATGCTGTCACAACTGGAATCTGCAAAACCAATGCTAGGGGACCTGATCTAATTATCTTTTGTTATATACCCTAATTTATCTGTATGTGTGTTCTTCTTATCTAAATAACTGGTTACTTTAATGTAATTTATTATGTCAACAGTGTAATGTATTGACCTGATGTGTAATCTTTTGTCTTTATATTCAATAATTGCCAGAAAAGGTTAGTGCAGTTGAGCAATGCCATTTTTGTCTATGAGGATGTTGTAGTGCCCCCTGCCCTTTTTTCTGTCCTGTATCAGCATCTAAATGGATTTTTCTCAAACCCTTCACAATGCTGGTATCTTCAATGACTGCCTAATTAGCATAAGTTCGGACAGTTAATCATAACTGCCAATCGCGATATACGATAATTTTGCACTGTCATCTGCATCCGCAGTGAGTTTCAGCCTCACAAATGAAACTGTCCGTTCAAAATTGCTAATTTACATGACGTGTTCAACTTCTGGCAGCCAGTGTATTTTAGTAACATTTAAAAAATACATGCGTTTTATTTCACATATATTATTTATTTTTTATATTCTAACTAATATCCTATTTGCTTCCAGATTTCTTGCAATTTGCTTTCCAATGAGATGCCAAATAACGTCACGTGGATGCCGTGTCATCATAACTGCTATTTGGTTGTTCAGTTTCACAATCACCTTACCTTGGACAGTGTATTTTAAGCTTCTTCTTATTGGCAGGACAGAAGATAATGACCAACTCTATGTCTGTCGAGAGATCTGGCCCACTGAAAGAATGGGTGTCATATATTTTATAGTCGCCAATCTGGTTCTTTGCTATCTTTTCCCGCTCACTATTATCTTGCTGTGCTACATTTTCATCTGGAGGACAGTGTGGAGAAGACAAATGCCAGGAGAAGGTGTACACAACAATGGAATGATACACAGGTCAAAGATCAAGGTTATCAAGATGCTGTTTATAGTAGTTTTGGTGTTTATGGGATCATGGTTGCCGCTGTATGCTATCTTCACTCGAATTAAAGTTGGAGAACCCTACCAAGAAAACAGCATGGAAGAATTTATCATCCAAGTATCATCCCCTATTGCACAATGGCTGGGAGCCTCCAACAGCTGCATGAACCCAGTGTTATATGCTTTTTTCAATAATAAATTCAGGGCTGGTTTCAGAACAGTGTTGTTTCCCCGAAAGCCGTGCTTTGAAAATGCAGGAAATATAAGAATGTTTTCTTTGAGAAACCAAACAGTGGGTACTTCTGCTAGGACAAGAAGGGCAAGTTCTTTGCAGAAAGATAATGGCAAAACTAACGCGATATAGTGGGTGTGCAGGTAGCATTAGCGGCTCTGTGATGTGTATATTCATGTATCATATCATTAGTGTTAAACTGCAGTCATGTACAGATGTCTGCAACTGTTAAATAGAAGGTCTCAGGTGCATAACGAGGCCGTTGACAGAGGATAAGGACCATATTGTTGAAACTGTTAATTTTTTATGTAATTTCATTAAAAATGAGGTAAACTGACGCTAGTTAAGTTTTAAAATATCATGCATATGTTACCGTTAAAGTGAGAATAATCGTTATAGGACGATCTATTATGATAAGGAAAATTGCTTCATCTCACACATTACCCAGGAAACACATAATCTGCACTATGCTACTAAGCACTTATTTAAAGTGAAAATAAGATCTTTGCTCGAAAAACAACAACTTCTTGTACTATCAAATAATACTCAGGTAAACAGTTTCGCAATATTAACTGTAAAAGTACCATATAATTTGTTCCACAAAGTTATAAAGTAGTTTCATATTTTAACCAGCAGATTGCAAGTCACAACTTCTAATTATTATTAGTGATTATTAGTGACAAACACGCTTTATTTTTTTCTATAAAGTTACAGGTAATTTCATATTACCTAGAAAAATATAAGTAGCAAATTCTGATTATTATTAGTGATTATTAGTGAAAAATGTGCTACACTTTGTTCCATGATATTAGAAGTGATATGATATCTTAACCAGCACACTGCAAGTAAAAATTCTGATTATTATTATGAGTGATTGTTAATGAAAACGAGCTATACTTTACTCCATAAATTTGCAAGTTGTTTCATGTATTAACGAGCGAATTGTACAAACGAACGCTGGTATACAAACAAACGTAACAAATGCTGATTATTATTGAAACATATCTGCTATTTATCAGTCTTACGGTAGCTAGAGAAAGAAATTGATAGATATGATCTGTCAAGAGAACATGTCACAGAATAATTAATTCACAGAATAATTAATGAATAAAGCAAAATACAAATAATAGTCAATTAAACGGTTTAAAGGCGTTATTGCAAATAAGAACGTGAATTTACGAAACAGTAAAATAAAACTGTCCTTTCTTATTCGTATAATCTAGTGACTGATGACGTTTAGAATTAGATAGCGCCTAACTTTTGCAACAAATTGTGAGACAAACTATTAAATAAATTATGAGAAAGTGATTCCGAAAACAAAAGTCAGAGACACAAATGTTAGAAAGTGGAAAGAAAGGAAGAGTATGAGAGGAACGAATGTTTTCACTTTAGTAGAGGACTACTTTAACTTAATCCGGTAACGTTTAACACATTAACTTTACCCTTAATTTTAACTTGAGACGGTCAGGCTACTTATTGCCGCATCCGTTAAATTATGAGATTTAAATAGAACTTTTTATTTAAAACTTTAAAGTTAACAAAGACGACATAGCTTATTACAAACTAAATTTCGCATCTTGCGGAATTTCAGATAGCATAAAATATGAATTGAAGTTAAAAGTAGCTTAACACTGAAGATTCGCGCACGCAAACAACTGGCAAACACTGGCTCAGTTCTAAACTAGTTGAATTAGTACTTCGTCTATTAAAAGGCTAACGCCTGTCTACAATAATTCACAGAGCTAGACAAGAAAATAGCAAAACGGTTAATGTCGCTGCCAAAGCTCAAAATCTTTGTTCTTATGTAAACATATCTAATCGGCAACCAAGGCTGGATAGTGGTTGGTGACCCTGATTGCCTTACCGAAGGCCCCGTTCGAATCCCGGAGAAGGCATATGCTTGTAAATGTATACTATCTGTGTGCCACGGTGGCACTCAAAATACGCGGCGAGCCGAAAGTTCTCTCGAGAGGTTAGTAGTAAGGGAAGAGGGGTGGGAAACCCTCGGACCCCTCCTCTTGGGGTGCTCTCCTTCAAAATCAGGGTCGGAACTGCGCAAAATCGTACAGTCGCCTGTATGATGCCCACGTCTTTTGCCAACGACAGGAGAAATCTCGCCTCTTGACACAATGCATTTCATTCGCTTGTTCTGATATCAGACAAGCGAAATTACTCACAACAACAATATTTCTTACTTGCATTCTGATGAGAGTTGACGAAAAATAGAATTTATACAACATATAAAACAACAAGGTAATGAATTAACATAATTTTAACGATTCGTGTTAATGACAACAAATGCAGAATACTCTTATTTTGCAGATGATTCCTCTCTTTAATAGAAAACAAATCGGATAATTTACAAATTAACCATGTAATGTGTACATTATCGGTTTTTGAACTTTAACGGTAGCATGTACATGTTCCAAGATTTCTGGTTGCAGAATTTCTTTGAGTCAATAAAGTACAAGTAACGCTGAAATAAAGCAGAGTAATTTAAATACTTTTCAGAAATGAATAAGGGGCTAGGTAAAGTTTTTTCCCCTTTTTTATCCTGGCACTTATCTTCTGCAAACTGAATTTCTCAAAAGTATGTATTATTTTTCTACAGACCTAAACGCAAAAATTTTCATACGTCGCTTAATTAAAGAAACGTGATTTCTTGGAATGACCAATTAAATTTGAGTTTGAACATGCACAAAATTGAGGATCCTGTAATGTTTCTGGTTAACACATTGATTCTTCCTCTGTGTCTGTATGTCATTTCATATCACATTCCTTTTTTTCTTACATGAAAAAAAAATTTTTTTTATTAACGCATTCTGTATAATAACAAATAAACGGCTTGTACTGGCGTTCAATTCCAGGCTTGTATTTCAGTCCAAATGTTAATTTATTACTTCAGTATGAATGTAACTTATACATAATAATGAAACAGACGTAAGTTTTCTCATGTAAATGTCTAAATTAGTGCAAAATGGATAAATGTTGTAATTTACATGTATATTGTTTTTGTATCAAAGTGTAAATCTAAATATACTACTACTTCAAAGGCAGCAAATGCTTATATACCTCTGTTAACACATATTGTTTATTTTTTGTAAGATACAATTTATCTAATTCTATAGGTTTCATAAGCTTCTAAACCTTGATGTTGTCTGAATATTTTAAGAAACTTTTTAACTTATTTAAAAAATATATATATTGTGTGTGTAATATTATATGTACTAGTAGGAACTTTGGTTAATTTTACCCTTCGTCTTCGTTAAAATCAAAATAACTAAATGGACAATATTTTCTTTTTGCAACTGGCAACATGTCATCACAATTTTTCAAGTAATTGTGGAGACTGATTAATTTTACCATTTGATCTCAGAATTTTCTTAACAAAAGGCACTCTACTACCTTGTACAACGTAAAGGAAGTATTACAATGGCAAAAACCTCGGGCATCATATTTATGGATATTCATGGATAAACTACCGGTAACTATGATGATAGCATTTGCTTCAAAGGAACATACATTCCAATAAGAATGCATAGTAATGCCAACATCACAATATCTAAACAGATACCTTCATTTCTGCTTTCCTGTATCTTGAATCTCGCAGGCACTTGTTGTTTGCAGCTACTCTCAGATCATTCAATGCTGTTGTGATTATTTTGGGTTTGCTACAACGTATCACTATCATCACCATTGTTATCGTCATCGTCACTAGCCATTCTGTTGTCACTTGTGCAATGGTTTTCGAAAGCATCAAGAGCATTCGATATATCTCAGTTTCTGTAAAGCTGTTCACTATAGATGCTTCATCATTCTGAGCCCATGCACTCAAAATCCACGAGCATATCATTTAGTAAAATGAAACCAACCACTATGTACAAGAAGTCATTTTAAAGTTTGGGAGAGCTCGCTTTCTTGAGGAAGGGGAACATTCCGTGAATATTAACCCTTTCAGGGGCTGTGGTTTCTCCTTGAAACCGCATTTTCAACATTTTTTTTTAATTTAGAAAATTTGGTTTCATTTTCTCAAAACCGCTGCTAAAATTAAATTACTTCTTAAAGCTGATAACAGATGGCAGCACTAAACCTTTTTGGGCATCCATTAATATATACGAATTGTTCAAAAATACCTTGTTTGTCACTGTTCTTTTTGGGCTATTTTAAGGACAAAAAACACAACAATTTTTAATTTTTCCACAATATATTTTATAAGCAGGCATCAATGATTAATGAAATGTCCTTAGTTCACAAAAAAAAAGAAAAAAAGTAATGGAACCCTTTTAATTTTGAATGTTTTCAGCGCGGTTTCAGTATGAAACCACCGCCCCTCTGAGACATCGAAGAAAGGATCAGATGACGCAGTCGCGAGATTTTTTACAGCTGTGTTTATTGCTTTCGGATCACTGCTGTAAGCAGTTGCACCATATCTTCATTTGAGTGGCTTCAAAGATGAGGTTTTATGGAGCTTTTGAGAGAGGGAAAACATTTATTATTTTTTACAGAGACACAGAGCACACTGAAGAACACTCACAGTTGCGTTTTTATTTTGCTTCTACTTTTTGTCTCTTCTTGTTTTAAATTTTTTATTTATAATTAAAAATGCGTGTTTATGTAAATATTACTTACTTCATTAGTTGTTCAGTAATTTACTAGTATAATCTGCAATGTGGGTTACTTTCAAATACTTTCCCAGCAAAGTAAAGATAAATAAGCAAATGCTTAGTCTTAAATGCTCTAGACGGGCGCTGGTTTCAAGGCGAAACCGGTCCCCTTTCCATAAAGGGGGACGAAAAAAAATTTTTTACACTCATTTATGTTGTCTATAGGACCTTTGCATGTCATTATGCTTACTTTTTCATAACTTTTAAAAAATTATAACATTGCGTCCCTGAAAGGGTTAAAAAATTCTGATGTGGGCACCACTTTCTACTGACCATTAAATTCTAATTTTTTTTGTTCATTTCAACATATTTCCTGGAACAAATCAAATTTAATAAACATATCTTTCAAGAAACATTCAAAATCACATTAAAAATTGCAATTTTTTTAATAAATATCTCGTCAATTTTTGTCATACGGGAATCAAACTTCTTAAAATTTTACTTTTTAATAACGAGTGTAAAACTTTCCCAAATCTAAATATAGGAACCGGAAGACTGCATTTAAAGTTAGGCTTCGTTATTTGTCAAAAATTATTTAACAACCTCATTAATTGCAACACATGACAATTTCGTTATTTAAATACTTCTATTTTTGGAAGTACAGATTGTGCAACGATTGCGAAAAAAGGCTTTGTAAGGATTTTTTTAAAAAAAAATTCCGGTAAGGAGGTAAAGTGTATATATATTAGATATATAAGAGATAGAGAGAGACATATGACTTTTTAGGAGTGCCGATTGCAATATAAAAAGAGCTGTGAATCAGTCCCCCTTACACAAATTTCAACCTTCTCCGACTATCGCTTGGAGTGGGAGAATACATATACAGACTGTATGAAAATCCATTTTGATCATTTTACAATCCGTTTTGTAAAAATGATTGCTTTCTTCTTCTTTCTTCTGTCCTATTTCAGCTGTCTCGCAATTAAACCCGAATTTTGTAATTACAATACTTTTTTTTTTATTTCGTATAAAAAAGGAAAAATTCAATATTTCGCTTAAAATCTGTGGGGACGGGGAAATCGTACGGAAAATACAACATTAAATACTTTATATGCAAAATGAAGAGATTTAAAACTTGTAAGAACCACTTGGCCTATCTTCTAAGTAACTGTACTATAGTAAGTTGCGTATAGGACTATGGCAGGAGAAGATGTAAAAGTAATCCTTTATTAAACTTCTTAAAATTCCAATACTCCACTGACGCTAACACACTACCCCTCTCTCGGGCGGTAACTCAAATCACAAGATCTAACAAACCCCTCTTCTCTTTTGGAAGTACATGATTGTGATCAACGATTGCGAAAATAAAGGCTGTGTAAGGATTTTTAAGCCGGATAAGGAGGTAAAGGTATATATATATATATAAGAGAGAGAGAGAGACATATTACTTTTAGTATTGCCGATTGCAATAGAAAAAGGAGCTGTAGATAGCAGTCCCTTACACATAATTTCAACCTTCTCCGACTAATCGCTTTGGAGTGAGAGATACGGATATACAGACATTATGAAAAATCCATTTTGAATCAATTTTACAATCCGTTTTGGAAAAATGATTGCTTTCTTCTGTCCGTATTTACAGCTGTCTCGCAATTATACCCGAAATTTTTTAGATTACAATACTTTTTTTTATTTCGTATAAAAAAGTAAAAATTCAGAATATTTCGCTTAAAAGCTGTGGGACGGGAAATGCGACGGAGAAAATACAACAGTAAATACTTTATGCAAACTGAAATAGATTTTAAAACTTGTAAGAACCACTTGCCTATCTTCTAAGTGACAACTGTACATATAGTAAGTGCGTATAGGAACTATGCAGGAGAAGAGTTAAAAGTATCCTTTATTAAACTTCTTAAAATTCACAATACGCCAACTTGACGCTAAAACACTACGCCTCTCTCGGGCGGTAACTCAAATCACAAGATCTAAACTAAACACACAAGAACTAAACTAAAATTCCAAGACATTAACAAGTAGTAGGAATTTCGCTACGGGGCTCAGAAAACTCCTGTTACTTAAAAACCACTTTGAAAACTAGTGGCAGCAAAGCGATAGCTGTTATGCCACGTAAACCAGCAATAACTGCAGAAATAGAAGCTCAAGCTACAGAGGTGACGGCGATTGCCCAAAACTTTCTAACTCCCCTTCTAAAACTCAGTATTTTAAACTATTTAAAACTTTCCTCCTCAAGGTGAGATTTGCACTTCTTTTCCCGCGCGCTACCAAATTTAAATATTCTGAAATTGACAATTAGAGGAATGAAAACTTATAGGAAAGAAAGTAAAATTAAACTAAATTGGTTATGTTAGATAAATATAAATCCCTACAAACTTATATATATTTTAAAGTACTAGCAATTCCTACAAACTTATATATATTTTAAAGTATTAGCTTATATTTTAAAGTACTAGCTTTAAAATGTAAAGCGTCTGATGAGCCTCTTTACTTGCTTTGCACTTTTCTTTATTCTTAATTTACAAGCCGTTTTTATTATATTTTTCCTCATTAAATTCAAACAAAAAATCAAACTTTAATTTAAATAATTGCTCGCCAGTTTTATAAAAAATACTGCTTTAAAAGGAATGTGAATTTGAGATATGTAACGCATGCATTAATACTCTGAGCTAAGTGAATAAATTACCGCATATTTTCGAATATAAGCCATGCCATATATATATGAATTTTTGAAGAAATTTGGCCAAGAATAAAACTCCATTACAAACCAGATTAAAAATTTCTGAAAGTGATTGGCAACTCCTTATCCATTTGAAAAGCACAGAGGCTCTTCGTACATGTTTTAGACGAATTTCATTGTATTTACAGAAATACTTTACCTAAGGGTTTTGTGATTTAAGCGTTCCATTTGATAGCACTTATTCTTCACTATCTTTGTCCACCGTAATTTCCAAGACAATTAACCCTGCAGTGCTCGCGTGGCGTATTGTTACGTTGAAGGTCGCGTGGCGTCTAACAGACGCCAGGTATATTTTTGCTGTACTAACATATACTTAGGTTATTCAATTTAAATTTATGAATGCAAAGGCATTATTGAAATAACTCACATAATATTTGTGGTATCATATTACAAATGCAAATAACAAAACTTCAATTTACAATGAGACTTAATTTTATTCAATTTAACTCAAATACAAATGAAAAATACAAGTAAAATTGTCTCATTTAGTTAGTTACACAAACTAGCAATCAACGCATATTTGCTGAGCGTTTTCTAAACATAAAAATGTTTACAAGTGCGGTATTTGTACTTGGTGTACCTGTTCTT